CTGAGCAGCCGCCAACACACAGCTATGGCCGCCAGTGAATACTCCCTATAATCTGTTTCACGCTTGCATTGATAAATGTCACAAGTCAGACTTCTTTTTTTTTTTGTCTAAACATATGTTTTAGCATCGTCATTCGCCGAGCTTCCTCCGTAAATTGCGGTGATTGACTTTCCGAGTGTTGTGCGGGAAAGTAGACGCGCGGTCTTTTTTTAGAGTGTATTTGCATTTTGACCTGTTTGCCGTCGAACACAGTAGGCGCTTGCCTTTGGTTTTGCTTGAACTTGGAACAATTCAGCTTCCTTAACGGCATCCTCAACCGTTGTTACTGCTTTGACATTTGTTCTACACTTCTTCGCAATGTGGCCAGGTTTTGAGCATTTGAAACATTTGCTCTTTAAGTGAAAACACACTTTTGAATTGTGTGCGCTACCACATCTAGTACAAGCGACATTTGCCTTAGAAGCCGGAAAGTTCTTTTTACCTTGTCGCTGCGGAGACTTTCGCTGCCAGTTGACGTCACCCTGGACACTGGTGCTAGCTGAGGGTTCCTCTGTGCGGCGAAGCTCCTTGCTTTGGCCTTGCGCCGCTCCCATGCCCAAGGCAGAGCTGTAGGCCCGGTCAAAGGTGAGGTCTTTGTTGCCTGTCGCCAGCAGCTTGCAGTGGATCGCGTCATTCTGTAGTCCCTCGATAAGACGGTCTCGAAGCGCCTCTTCTAGAAACATGCCGAAGTCGCACGCAACTGCCAGTTTCTTGATTTCCACGGCATAGACACTGATGGTTTCTCCCTGACGTTGATCCCTTCGGTAGAATTTGTATCGTTCCACCACCGCCGAACGCCTGGGAGCGTAGTGGTTCAGGAGGATCTTGAAGATGTCGTCGTAGATGGCTTCCGCAGGCTTTTTCGGAAAGAGCAGATTCTGAAGCGTGATGAACGAGCCTCGCCGGTAAGCGTGAGAAATACCTGCTGCTTGGTAGCCTGGTCAATCTTGTTTGCAGTTGCGAAAGCTTCAAAGCGTTCGACGTAAACTTCGAAGTTGCCCTTCTCCGGAGAAAATTTCGGGAGGTGCCTCAAGACGGAACTGCTCTGCGAGGTCCTGTCCGAAGTCTTGTGGTCGTCTTCCACGCTCATGGTTCTTCAGCAAACAGGCTTGCTGACCACATCTCGTCGCCACTGTCACGTTGTGGTAAGTACAGACAGACGCCGGGGCAGCAGGGCTTACAGCTTTATTGACAACATGGTTAATCGTCAAGGACGAACAACGATAAAGTGAACGACCACAGCAGCGGCGCTCGGTCTTGTAGCCAGAGCGCCAAGCGATAACATAGAGTGCGCATGAGTGGGGCGGATACATCACACATCGATATGACAATGCGAGTCACCGACCGACACAACGGTCATCAGCCAAACGCGCGGCGTTCCCTTGCACGCGCTCACATCCTTGGCTCTCTCAGCGTCTCGAGCTCCAGTTTACCCGATTACCTTCCGTGTTTTGAGCACGCGGTTCGTGACGATAACGTCTACGTCATTGCTCGCCTCGTCGAACCAGCCCAACAATCAAGAGATTGTAGGAAGTTGGTCATTTTAACTCGCCATGGTCGCCGTCGTCCGTGACGATCTCGCCGGTGTATGCTAGTTGGAAGGTAAAGGCGCCGGGTGCGACAGCGAGAGTAGCGTTAGAATAGCCGAGCTACGTGAGAGGTTTTTATGGCGAGGCGAACTTGGGCGATCATCAGGGAGCGTAGCACGAGAGAGCGTTCATGATCACGTGTTTTATCGGCCCCATGGTGTGACTAACTTGGGCAGTGTTGCCTGGTCGCCAGTTGCAAATGATCAAAATTTGTAAATTGATTATTGCAATTACTATACCCTATTTCACCTTATCATGTACCGTAGGAAATGCTACAAGCGCGAGTTTCTTGCTCTAGGGCACATCTCGGCGGCACGAGTTGGGCAACTGCCAACGCTATGATCTCGCGCTTCTAGCTTTCGCTGCGGTACAACATAAGGTGAAACAGAGTATAGAGCTCTAGAAATCACGAAACTTAGAGTATATATACTAAGTGACCTATGAGCATTTCATTTAAAAAAAATAATCTACCCGTTTAATTTTCGTGTCCTATCCCCTTTAAGGGTGCTCCTGTAACACCCTTAGAGTATTAGCCCTGGAACAAGCTGACTTATCCCCTTAGGGGTGTAATACTTCGTCCAAGACATCGTCATTCAGTTTTCATCTCCGTGAACTTCGCTTATAGGTTCCGTCAGTGCGGTTCATACAGTGTACTTCCCCTCCGGGGGTCGGTCCGCTTTTCCCAAGTGGATAGTTTAAGCCTTAAGGGGTTGGGGTAAGCGGGTGACGTATTTCAGTGGTGTGCCCTTTGTTGCTGGGCATTCCCAGAAGGCGTGCTCGTTGTTTGGATATGCACCGGAGTTGGTGCATATCCCGGGGCGTCCCGGGTAAGCCGTTTATGTAAAGTTTTGAGTGCTCTGTGAGGAGTGTTCTTGTCTAGTTAGGACATTGGAGGGGCTTAGAAAAGGGATGCCTTCATCTCAGAGTTGTTGCAGTAGATCGGTTCTTTCCGAGCGTAGTTCTTTTCTATATTCATAGGCGTCGTAGGTGGATGGCCAAGGAATAGACCGATCTCACTGAGCGTTCGGCGTATGCGTGACGCCGCCATAACTTTAGTTCACAAGATGCAGACGACCGTGCATACGAGGACTCGTGTTGTCACGTGCTTCAGACCCGCAGAGCTCCAGCACGTGCAGGAATACTAAAGTTCCCTCGATGCCTTGCGGCAGCGGTGGCGTAGTCAAACTAGCTGGTGAGTTCGATATATTGAAAGGACCGGTTGACTCTTTCATTGGGCGAGCTCATATGCCTTCCTTTTCATTTCTGTCAGTGCCTTGTTGGCCAGACACCCATCTGATGGTAACGTGGAGTGTGGGGTTAGAATTCATGTTTTCCTGGAGGATGGTTTATGTCCTCCGGCATATTTTTATAGTGAATCTTCGGAGGGCACCTTAGCTATCCATGAGGATCTGAATATTGCTGGTGCTTTTGCTGTGGGTGATTGCGTTTGTTATCGCCTGGGTCTCGAGGTCAGTCGCAGAAGGGGCATGGTGATATTTGGTCACTAGCTTGAGGTCTGGTCCTACCACTGCCGCTTTTCCCTTTCTGGTGAGTTTGTCGAAGCTGGCATCAGCAAAGTATAGCGGTTCCGTTTCGGTAGTGATATGTGTGATTCCGTGTGCCGTGGTCTTACTGTCCGTCTATATCGTTGTGTTTCTCGGCTTATATTCTTGGAAATGGGTTGCACTGTTATTCTGGGTGTCCCACGAGGGAGGGAGCTCACATATTGAGGGAAGGCTGTGTGTTGCATAGTTGAGGGATCTCAGGATTTTCCTTCCTTGATTCGAGGTATGTAGACGTTGTTGTTAGGCAAGCTGGTGTATGTCAACCCTGCTGTTTAATTGGTTAAATATACCTGTTCGGTTTATCATCATAATTGGGGTAAAGCGGGGAACACCTAGTTCTAATCTCGTTGCTTTGCGTGGTTGAATGTTACAGTTTTTCGTTCTCGACTTTTGTGAGGACTATGTAGGGAACTGCGTACATGACGCATGACGTAATGAATTTTTTTATTATCTTTTTGTTTTCCTGTTCCTTCACATCCCGTTTCTTTCTTGGGATTCGGCTTATCGTGGGCGTGATTTGGTTAATTTGTTTGGTGCATCTGCCCATTCATTGTACGGCTTTGTCGTCTTCTTGAAGGATGAATCCTAATATTTTTATGTGTGGTTATCGAGGGATGGGGGAGTGGTCGCCAAGTTTCAGGCGAATTTTTTCTCTAACTGGTCCAGCTTCTTTCTGTCTGCCGTTAAGACTACCGTGTATTCCGTTTTGATCGGTAAGCATATCGTATAGAGTCCTATGTGCTTCGTATATTCCTGAATTGCGTCGGTGCCCTCTTGTAGTGTTGCCTCTTGCTGCCCGGGGAGGCCCGCCGTGCACCACAAAGGGATGTCGTCCGCGTAGAAATTGAAGTTGAGGTCTGAGATGTCCTGGAGTTTCTGTGGGAGGTCTTTTTGTGCCAGATTGAAGAGCGCTATAGTGATAGTATTGCTCCTTGTGGCACGCCTTTTTGAAGTGGAAATGGCGGACTTGTATAACTGTCAATTTGTATTTCAAGTGTCCGATTCGTCAGGAAGCGTTTGATGTGGTTGTGCATCTTATGCCCGGGCTTGGTGCCTTCTAGTTTGTCTAGTACAGCTTGATGTGTGATGCTGTAAAAAACGGAATTGAAAGAAGCTCAATCAACCGATCTCACCAGCAAGTTTGACCACGCCATCGCTGCCGCAGTGCATCGAGGGAACTTTAGTATTTCTGCACTTGAGAAAACCTCGCTGGAGCTCTGCGCGTGCAGAGCGCGAGACGACACGAGCCGTTGCGTGGACACTTGGCAGCAGCGACGGTACTGAGCAGCCACGCTCACGACTCATCATCGTTACAGATTGCCCGTTGCGTTGCTGGCCGACGGAAACTTCAACGTGGTGCTGCATCGATCTCCGTTGCACATCAAGCCCGTCGTCGTCGTCGTCACTATCATCGTGACTGCGCTCTTCTTCCTGCCGTCCTGCCATTCGTCGGAACTACGGGACTCCAGCGCCCCTGCGCTACAAAAGAGCGACGCGTCTGCTCCTCCGGACACTTGGCAGCAGCGACGGTACTGAGCAGCCACGCTCACGACTCATCATCGTTACAGGTTTGCTGGCGTTTTCCTTTCTCGAATCAATTTTAGGTAACGATAACCGTCGCTGCTGCCACAGCTGTTATCAGTTGACCTGCAAATATATTGCTTGTTCACTTTCGCGCTTTCGTTTTTGTTTTGTTGCTTTCAAGTGACATTCCATGGCGAAGGACATTGCCGAATTATTTAGTGACTTTAAAGAAGAATTCCGACAGGAGTGGAAGTCTTTCAAAGTATCACTAGAGCGAGACATTCGAAGTGACGTCCGTGAAATGAAGGCTGACATAAATAGCTTTAAAGACAGTGTGAACTTCATGAACCTCGAGTTCGAAGACGTTAAGGCCAAGTTTGGCACAGTTCTAAAGGAAAATGCCGAGCTTAAGAAAGAAAACGGAAACCTTTCGGAAAAAATCAGCCAAATGGAAAGGCGTCTAATCGACTACCAGGATCGGCTCACAGAAGCTGAGCAATATTCAAGAAACTCCAACCTAGAAATCAAGGGCGTTGTAAAGTACGATCACGAAGTACTTCCCGACCTGATCAATAGGCTAGGGGAATCAATCGGCGAGCCAATCGCTAGAAGTGACATTGCGATCTGTCATCGCGTGCCAACCCAGGACGCCACCAAATCTAACATTATTCTCCAACTTGTAAGCCGCAGCAAACGTGATGCCGTCCTCGATAAGGCAAAAAAGAAGCGCATTAAGAACTCGGATCTTGGCCTTGACACGGATGCCCCTGTCTTCGTCAACGAACACCTCTGCCCATCTTTGAAGCGGGTTCTCGGAAAAGCGATTGCCAGAAAGCATCAATGTAATTGGAAATATGTCTGGGTTCGAAACGGCAAGATTTTTGCTCGTCAAGCAGATAGGACCCCACTTGTTCAGATTAGCAATGAGGCTGACGTAGGGAAAATTTGTTAGTTTAGCTACGCTGTCTTGTACAGTCTCTTCCATTTGTTCCTTATTTTTTTTTTTTTTTTTTTATGGCCTACGTCGAACTTGTGTTGCCGGAAGAACTGAGTCAGTTCTTATCCTCCCAAAATTCTACCCATATCTTTCACTTGAACACGCGTTCTGCAACAAATAAACATGACTCTATTATATCATTTCTGGATCAGTGCAGCGTATCATTCGATATGATAATGTTCACGGAAACCTGGTATCAGCAGGATGCTGATATGCTCGTTCTGCCGGATTACACACATTTCTTTTTAAACCGTAAGCATAAACGCGGCGGTGGTGTCTCAAGTGAAATCTTCAATTAAATGTGAGCTGTTAGATATTTTTACTGAAATTACAAGTGATTATGAGATCCTAAGCTTAAAATATGGGGCTAATATAAGAGCTGTCATGTACCGCCCACCTTCGGCAGATTTTGAAATGTTTATTTCTTTTCTTGAGCGCTTTCTAGACTATGTATCGGCTAATAACTACTCCTTGGTCCTAGGGGGTGACCTCAACGTTAATTTACTAGAAGACTCTTTCCAAACTAAGGCACTCAATAATACGTTGCATTCTAACGGCTTTCGTAATGTTATCACGTCTCCCACTAGAATCACTACATTCACATCAAGTGTAATTGACCTTTTTATTACCAATATTACAACCAACGTCAAAGTAACCGGAACCATAAGCTGCGACATAAGCGATCATATTCCAATCTTTTTGACTTTACATAATCATGACCCATACAAAGGTGCTGCTAAATCTTCTGTAACCTACCAAGAAATGACTAATGATTGCCTACTTGCATTTAGGAATGCAGTTTTCAACATTGATTGGACATCGGTTTTCTCTAAACTAGATGTGAATGATGCATATAATGAATTCTTAAATATTTTAAAATCACTTTATGCCCTACATTTTCCGTTTAAAACTGTAACCACGAGCAAAAAAATAAGAAAACCTTGGGTAACCCCAGCCCACATAAAAATGATGAGGAAGAAAACTCGCTTATATGAAACGTTTTTAAAGACGAGGGATCAAAATAAACTGTCATGTTTTAAAAAACTTAGGAACGAATTGACATCTGAGCTTAGGAAAGCAAAATCATCATATTACAAGCAAAAGTTTCATGAGGCTACTAAACAACGACCTGACGTCGTGTGGACAATTATTAATGAAGTTTTAAATTGTAGAAAGGTTTCCCACTCTATTGGCGAATTAACTATAGACGGTCATAACATGTCAGGTGCACGTTTGGCGGAACAGTTTAATGCTAACTATTCAAATGCACTACCTACTGCACAGGGAAACGGAAATAATGAAAATGTCCTTTCTTCTGTGAAACATACTGATGATACGTTTTTTCTCAATCCAACTGACGAAGTAGAGGTGTATAATATCTTTCTAGGACTAAAAAACAGCAAAAGTATTGACATTGATAAATTACAAATAAAGCCAGTTAAATTTGTAATGGATATAATTGACCCACACTTAGCATACATATACAACTTATCATTATCATCTGGTCAGTTTCCCGCAAAAATGAAGTTGGCTAAAGTCACTGTTGTGCATAAAGGAGGCGATAAGCATGTAATGAATAACTATAGGCCAATATCTGTGTTACCTGTCTTCTCTAAGGTACTCGAAAAGATTATTCTTACGCGCCTCGATCACTTTTTTTGTAAACATTCTATATTAACAGACTATCAATTCGGCTTTCGCAAAGGCAAATCTACGGAAGCCGCCTTGTTATATCAAAAAGAAATTATATTGCGAAATATAGAAAAAAGGCTGATTACTTTAGGTGTGTTCATTGATTTTAGTAAAGCGTTTGATGTCCTAAATCATACAGTACTACTTATGAAACTTAGTCGATATGGCGTCCGCGGTGTACCACTTGCATTGCTTCACTCGTATCTAACAAATAGGAAACAGTGTGTAGCTATTGACGGTTTTTTCTCTTCTTTCCAAAGTGTTCTTTGTGGTGTACCGCAGGGAAGTATACTTGGACCTTTTCTATTTAACGTCTACATCAATGACCTAGTAAACATCGATAACCAAGTGCAATTTGTTATATCTGCGGACGATACGAGTATGTTTTTCTCTGCGGCTGATGCTGATACACTGTTATGCCAAGCCAATTCTACTCTTACCAAATTTGCATTGTGGTCTGATACTAACGGCCTTAAGGTAAATACAATGAAGTCTAAAGCAATCTTATTTAGATAAAAAAATAAGCCCATTTCAATAAATTACACTCTCATACTAGGTAGGTCGTCAATCGAAATAGTCAGCCAGCATAAAACTTTAGGTGTATTTTTTTCAGAGAATATGACGTGGGATTGTCATGTAAATTATTTAACAGCTAAACTTTCTCGGATCGTTGGTATTGTTTCTCGTTGTCGCAACGTTTTACCACTCAACATTAAACTTAAAATTTATTATGCATTATTTCAATCCCACTTGAGTTATTGTCACCTTGTATGGGCTACTACAACAAAAACAAACCTTAAAAACATACTATTACTGCAAAAGAAAATAATACGATATATTGCTGATGTTTCCTACACAGACCACACAGAACCTTTATTTTTAAAATATCAAATAATTCCGGTTGAACGCATGTATGAGTATCGTTTGCTTTGTTCCATTCGTTTCTCCTCCACACACTTCATCGATTTCTTATTCACTATTTCTGATCTTGTCAGGCATAGCAGTGATGTCAACATACGCCGCAGAGAAGCATGGGTCCTCCCTTGTTCCCGCACGAACTACAACTTTCAAACTTTACATTACAACCTACCACTTGTTTTAAATAAATGCCTCACAAACAACATAAACATATACACGATTAGCAAACGAGACTTGCGCTCTTATATCTTCGTTGTTCCCTAATTTAGTGTCATAATGTTTACAAAGTTCCGATTTTTTTATTTTTTTTTTATTTTGCTTTTTCAAATGTTACGCTAGGAGAGTGTTGCACACTACCAAGCTGCTGCCATGTAATAAGGGTCCCAGACCCAGTCAAGCTGTCTCAACAGCTTTTTGTCTGGGACTCCTTCCAGTGTTTCTGGAAAAATAAAGCTTTGATTGATTGATTGATTGACTGCCCTCTGTCTCCTGCAAACTCCGCAGACTAAAGTTATGGCGACGTCACGCATGTACCGAACGCTTGGTGAGTTCGGTAAACCGGGAATAAGTCCACGCCCGCGACTTTGACGTTACCACGCCTCATGTGACATCACGAGTTTTGAAAGTGTTTGGTTCAGGATTAAAATGCCTACTGTTCACATGCTCGTCAGTGCATGTTATAAACCTCCTGACCTGTCTGATGTTTCGCAATTACTTCATGAGTGTTGTGGGAACCCATCGTGTTCCTTCCCACCAGATCGTGCGCTGCTGACGCCATGTGGCGATAGCATCGAAGGGGCGTCGCCGAAGTGGACAATCTCGTGCCCACAGCGGCCCTGCCTGAGGATGACGAGGCTAGAAAAGGGACGGAGAGACGACTGTTACGGCTCTCGGCTGTGCGGGACGAACGAGGACGGCTGCCTGACTTCTTGAGCGCGGGGCTTTGGTTGCCGCCGCTAGCCGGCGACCTGCACGCACCTGCGCCCCCCCCCCCCCCCCCCCCCCCCCGGCTTCTAGACTGCGGGCTTGGATTGCCGCCGCAAGCCGGGGACCTTCCCGGAGCCCCTGGATGAGTGCCCGTCGAAACCAACGTGGCCACTTGCCCGGAACCACAGGTTCCGATGGACGACGTTTGAGCGCCTGCAGACCATCGGGAAGCCGACCCCGGGCGTCGTTTGCGCGCTGCCCGCCGAGCGCCCGGACATTGACGTGAGGCTTGCCTCGTAAACATTGTTGGGTTAATAAACAGCTAACCTAAAGCGTGTGTCTGTCCACCCGAGGAAGGGGCGTTAAAGAACCGCCCACACTGTTTAGAAAACCTTGCATATTCGTATGCAAATGATATCTATGTAAATACAGGAGACTTTAATCGGATAGCATGGCCGGTTTTTCCGAATCTGATATCCTTTGACACGTGGTATAACCTTTCCAAACAAAGTCGCGACTTCGTCGACGTGATAAGTGCATTTTTTCTTTCCCAAGTGGTTGACCAGCCAACCCGGAACTCGGCTACTTCTAAACCTGATTCTGTAGTTTCAGTTAGTATTATGGAACCATTTAGTGATCATGTATCTATAAACGTTAAATTAGCTATCCCAATAAAAAAAGCACAGTTTACTGATAAAATGTATCTACAATTACTCAAGGGCGAATCTACAGGACATGTGTTAATGCCTAGAAGGATTTTCAAGAGCATACAGGGTAGACTTTGACTCTAGAACAGTGGAAGAAAATTAGAAATTAGTTAAAGATAAGATGCTAGAGTTACGCGATCAATTCATTCCAAAAGTTAATATTCGGTCCTCTGCTGAAAAACCATGGTTCTCAAGCCATATTAAAAAACTCCTCAATAAAAAGGAGAGACAATTTCGACAGGCTAAAATATCGCGTTCTTTGATTACATTTGCAAAGTATGACGAAATCCACCAAATGTGTGTAAATCAAATAAAGAAAGCGAAAAATAAGTTCCTTAATGAAGACCGACGCGGTCTTATAAAAACTAACCCGAAAAAAATTTGGAATGCAGTTAACCCCAAGCACGCTTCCAATCCCTTTCACTTTACTTATTCTTCGGGAGACGAGCTGGATGCTGTTGACGTGTGTGAACGATTTGGCAATTTCTGCATTGAAATGTTTTTTGATGAGGGCTTTCCCTTGCCAGATATTTTACCTGAAGATAGTATACTAACTCAAATGGCTCCAATTACTATGTGTGCCACTGGTATTCAGAAACTAATAGAAAATCT